TCTATCGTTCAAAAAAATGGATGGGAATGATTCTGGCAATATAAGCGGCAATGTTGAGTTCCCGCTGAACGGCACCACTGAAGAGGATAGGTGCGAAAAAATTGAGCCATTAGAGCGAACACTTGTTGCCGAGGTATTTTGCTTTGGTCACGTTTGATCTTCAAGATCTATATCTATAGTTCAGTATTGACTTTTGTATATAGCGAAGATCATGGTTCTAGGAGGACCGTACCTTGGATATGGTCGACATCGAATCTGTCCAACAAGAGGAAATACGTCGAATTGAAGAGGCAGTTAACAGTTTGACTGAAGATCTAGAATTACCTCGAGCTTCTGACCAGCGGATTTCTTCGACTGACGAGGACTACTGTTAGTAGTTTGATCTATAGTTCCATTTTATTTTATTTTTTCGATAACGATTCCGTATTGCTTATGGGCTCTGGAATCGCTGAAATGGTTGTAAGTTAACTGTTTTGGTTCGTTGTCCCTAAAATAGTTCTCTAAATAATTGGATTTTCTTTCTGTAAGAGGTTTGCCTTATAGGGTGTCCGGTTGCATATTGCCTGATGCCTTATGAAGCTTTTTAGAAAGACTGTAAACAGGGTTAGAAGCGCCTGCAACCATGTTCCCCTCCATCCCCCTCTTCCTCATGTAACCCTGCTCTACAAGAGATGTGTCAGGGTTCCAATAACGAATGCAACCACGCTCCGCCGCATCGAGGTCTTATCACCCTCTCTTTCATCTTTTTGAGCCCCGTTTCATCCCTGAAATAGTGAAACTGTAGCAACGATCCATGTCAAGTTAATGGGACGCACCTGCTTCATGCTGGTTTACGATGAAACTCGACCTACAAAACCCACAACTGGTAATTCAGTAATTAGAGCGGGAGGAGCCGCTTGGTCTCCTTTGATATCTTATGGTGTAGCGACTTTTGAGGTTATACTTCTACTCGATCTTTTATACCATTCGCTCGGGAAGGGCATTGTAAAGGTTGAAACCTTTCAACAGGGTACCTGCCCGCTATAAGTGATGAATTCACTATTTGATTCGTAGACTGCCCGTTTCTGTGCCGTCAGATGCTGAAGTTCAAATGTAGAGTGGAAAGTGGTTTAGTTTTACTGTTCGAGCAATTCCATTTTCACCCTTAGCCACCCCATCCACCCCATCCACGCTTTCTGTTTCATTTATAAGCTCCTTGTTGAGCGGTTGAGACAATCAATAGGAATCACATTATCAAGGCTGAAAGTGTGAAACGCTACGATCATGATGGTGACTGAATGCAATCGCAATTAAATACAATGAGATCGGCATAGGGGGTAATTCTGCCCTTTCTCACTTGGCATTAGTCATTCGTTGAGCATCAGTGCCCAGTCGTTTCAGGCGCTCTCTTCCGTGCTGTTCTGAACTGAGAAGCGCGAGCGAGCCAGCGCGGGATGAATAAGATGGGGGTGTCTCAGGGCTGACGTTAGTCGTCGCGCTTGTAGCGTTAAACGCGCGCTCACCTCATCATATTTCCTACAACAATTCGACGAAATTTATCGAAGCACTTTGCTGCTTCTTTGACAATCATCACGGCTGTTTACATTTTTCTTCTGACCACACTACTTTGGCTTTGGAAAGCAGTAACGAGGGTTTTTCGTAAGTTTTCCGAAGTTTTCTGAATTCATGTCATTGTCCCTGAATGAATTTCCTTGTTGCTCAACTATTCATTCTTCCCATATGGGCGGGTCAAAGACCTTTTTTGAATTCTTCAAGTCAATAACAGTGTCGCTTTTATTTCATTCTTTCAATTGTTGATACATTCAGGCGTGTCACCAGCCGTCCTTCTGGATGACTCGATGATTCCTCTCGTTGGGACTCCTCATCCTATGGCTTATATCCCTATGGAGGAGGTGTTCACATTCATAGATCGACGTACAAATCAGGAGTTACCTGCGATCTCGGAGGAAATTGAGGTTTTGGACGTTTCCTAACATTTTGTTGACTGCCACGAACTTGATTTTGACTTTTTCTACAAATCACTTTTTATGAGCTCTATCAGGAAATAATTATTGTTAGGATCAAACCCTCCGACGTCGACGTTTCACCAGAAGTTCATCTTTTGAGGGTCGTTCACGGAACTCTTCCGATGGTAAAGTCCTTGAGGCAGATGAGCCTGTCCACGAACCGATGCGAGCAACGTCAAAGCCAGATGTGGTGCCTGAGCTTGACTACCCGCTTCTGTATGACACCGAAATTCCCGCTGGCCCGATTCACAGGTAGGAACATATTTCTAAGAATATTTCTTCACTTGCCTGGTCACTTGGGCGATGACAAATCATCTGCTGATGACTGTATTAGTCGATACATATGGGGTGATACATCTCCAACGGTGTGTCATCCCCTTGACTTATTTCTTCTGGAAAGTTTTTGGGAGGATTTTTGTTTTGATGACACGTTTGCCAAGAAGTGTTCAAATGGGTGCTTTGCATTCCATTGGGATTGGCTTGATGAATATTTGATGATGAGATGATAGTACATTGGCATTGTAGGCGAGCGGTTAGTGACAACATGGGTATTCCGTCGGATCGACGAACGGAGCTACGCCGAACGCAGGAAATGGAAGAGATCGATCGTGCCGGCAATGATGTGGTCTGTCGAGTTTTTTTTTTTTTTCGGGAAAAAATTTTGTTGTGGGTCGTTCCCATTTGTGAGAAAATTGTTGAATCCTAGGAAGTGCATATGCGGTCACAACGATCCCGCGATGTTGTCCGTGCCAGTTCCGTCGTATT